GTCATCATTTACCCAGAATGCTTTGCGTGTAAATAAAATGGCCCCATCCATGTTAAAATATATTTTTAAATTTTAGTTTAAAAATTATAAAAACTAAACAGCCTACAGTATTTTTACAGTATTTATTTTACAGTTAAAATATTTGTTTATTAAATAAAGTCTAATGTTACAACTAATCGTGGATCCCTTTAACACACCCATCCCCATAAAAGACAGAAGATAAAAATAGTTTATAATGAGGAGTCAGATCTCTGTCCAGTCTAATCCTCTCCAACTACTCCCCTCCAGAAGTCCCGATGCCCAGGCATGACGTTACCTTGGTCAGGTTGGTTAAAGCTAGGTACTGAGCAGAGAGCTGCGACACTCGGTGCACAAAGCCTTTGCCAGCTGAGTGTTCGTCCCACAACAGCTGGGCCTTCTCTTTAAGCCTGCTCAGCTGGACCTCCAGAGGGGACAGGTCCTCAAGCACAGACTGAAAGAGCACAAGCAGGTTAGCAGAGAAGCATGTAAGCTGACTCACATATCAGTTCACACAAACACACACATCCACACACATACACACACATCCACACACATACACACACATCCACACACATACACACACATCCACACACATACAGAGACAGAGCAGCTTGTTAGAGATGAGAAGAACGGAAGAAATGAGAGTTTTTTTTCTAACTTTGTTTGGTGTTCTATGGGAAACACTCCTTTGTGACCATCTACGGAAGATTACGTCTGATCCGTGCTCAGGGCTCCACCCCCATCATAAAACCATGGTCAGCCAACCATTCCCAACTCGTTCTTCCCATGAGAAACTACAACAAGCTCCCTCAGCACATTCAGGGTAGCTAGGTTAGCTAGTAAACAGTTCCCAGGCTTCAGTTTAAAATTGTGCTGAGTAAGTGATACTTGTAAGAAGTATTTCTGTTACAATCAGTACACTGCAAAAAATGTCCACCTAACCAAGTTTTAAAATCTTATATCAGCCAAAAAGTCTTTTTGATCTTGTTTTGAGACTGATTTACTAAACAAGAACTGTGTCAGAATAATCATCTTGTTTTCAGAATGTGTAAGATTATTTGTCTTGTTAGTCTGAAAATTTAACTCAAATTACCGGTAAGTCAAAATGTTCTGCCAATGGAGTAAGAAATTTTTACTTGGTAACATACTTGCAATAAGAAAAAAATTGAGTTAAATCAAGTATGGGAAGCTGTTGGCTTTAGGGCTTTCATGCCATTCAGAAGTGGGCTATACCTCCCACAGTGAAACACCAAACAAAGTTAGAAAAAGAACTTTAGGTTATAATACTGTATATAAAATAGAAAAAACAAGGCGAGTGTAGATGCTTGGTCTAGTAATACAATATACAGTGGTTTGCAAAAGTATTCATACCCCTTGAACTTTTCCATATTTTGTCACATTACAA